TATTTCGCATTCCTGTTGTTGTGCAGTAAAGATGACTTCCGAGGAAATAAGCACCGCCATATCGACGGGAGTGCTCGAGATGAAGGTTTGCAAGAGATATTTGAACTTCTTCACGTTCTATTCACTGATTATTCTCTTGTCAATACAGACGTCGATAAATCAGTTGATTTCAGTTCATGCAACGAACAAAAAATCGTTTGGATGAAGAGCAAAAACGCAAAAAAGATGAAGCACTGAAGAGAGCATTCCTGGGCGGTGATTCGTCTGCAGAATCGAGTGCTTCTGACGTGAAACGTTCCAATAATGAGCAATCAAATAGCGATCTTACCACACCGTAAGTGTTTTCTTTTGTTGGACGTGAATTTTCATCGGTAATCGGTAATATTCTGAATATTTTGGATCATATGTGCATGATTGGAGGCAGATATGAATTACTTACAGACCCGAAGTGATCTTCGAGCAGCGGTACGAAGTACTGGAAGATTTATGCTTTGGCCGGATCTCATTCGGTGGCTTCAATCCTGAAGTTGAGGTTATTGCTTTGTGGTGTTATTTGTTAAGGAAACTATAATTGTTGCTATTGTAAGCATTTCATTTTTATTCCACCGGAATTACAGTTTATTATTTTGCAGAAGTTGATGCAGTATTACAAGGATTTAAAAGAAGGTATAAAGCCAACTTCAGAGGACATTTTGGGTGAAATTGATATATCGGATAAAGAGATGGCATTGGCGTAAGTTGCTTATCTTTTGAGGGGTGTTGGTGATTCGTTTCTAGGTTCAGTTATGATTCAGTTTTGCGATCGATTAAAATTTTGAATGGTAGAATATTTCAGATTGGGTGGTGGTAATGCATCAGAGAGTTTAAGAAAGAAATTCAAACGATTCGATGCGCGAAGGCAACAACAACAGAATAATGATGAGGTAAATGATTCTTGCCGTATTTCATTTTGATTTCTCTTATAATTTGGGTTATGAATTTAGTACCCTCGATATTTTGCTCGCTTTTGTGAAACGTTTTGCAATAAGTTTATTTACTGGAAAAGGAATAATTAATTTTCAGGAACGTCATGGAAAGATGCTCATAACGGAAACATGTGAGGAGACAGGAAGCAGACGTAGAGGACGGAATAATAATAGTGATAGAAGTTTTAAGAATAGAAATTCTAATGCTTTTAATGATGATGGAGAGCGTAATCAAACGCCATAAAATGACAACTGATAATTGTGTATTGTTATATTTGTTGTGTTTGTGGGGTATTTGATGCAAGAAATTTTATTGTTAACGTTTGTTATGTGTATGCACCGAAACGATTGTTTATATAGAAGAATGTGAAAAGTTGTCTTAATTAAAAGGATTGTTCTGACCTCTGTTCAATTCATTCTTCCACATAAATGGTGTTTTCATCTCGTTTGTTGAATTTCATTCGCACTTATAATAGCTCATTATGTTTTCTGGTTTTGATTAGATTTTGTGTAAATGTGTTTGGTAGTAATGATGTGATGAAATTTTTATCTTGATTTGTGGAGGAAGTTTAATTTTATTTTTGTAAGATTGTTGTTTTCGTTACTTATTTAATTGTTTGTTCATTGAATATGGCGATGAATAAATTTATTTGGAAAATTGACTTCGTTGTTTTTTTGTTCGTTGCATTATTGCACAGAATTTCATTCGCACTTACAATGGCTGATTGTGTCTTCTGATTTTGATTTGATTTTGTGTAAATGTGTTTGGTAGCAAAGATGTGATGAAGATTTTGTGTTGATTTGTGAAAAAAGTTTAATTTTATTTTTATTTTTGTAAGATTATTTCGTTACTTATTTAATTGTTTGTTCATTGAATATGGTGATGAAATAAATTCATTTGCGAAGTTGCTTTCGTTGTTTGCATTATTGCATAGAATTGCTGCAGAAAATTTTAATGTGGTATTTCAACAGAACATCCATTGGATTTCTATGCAGCATTCAGCTCATTTTTGTAATAGCTGGTGCAATCATCAGTAAA